TGGGAGATGGAGTCGTATTCAAATACCTTATGGTTTCTCTACTCTTCCATTCTCACTTGCTTCAATCTATGTTTGAAAAATCTGAAGATATGAACACAAAAGTGGCTTTGAATAAACGTTTTTATAGCAACATTGTATTATGATCTGATGTAATTTACACCAAACACTTAAATAAACAACGAAGAACTGGCCACAAAAGCAAAACGAATTGTCGACTTTGATGATCAGAGCAATTGCCACTCATCTTCGCGTTCGTCCTCGGTGTTGTCCACATACCCGCAATTGTTGTGGTTAATCGCGCTGTGGGTTTGAGTCACTGTGAACAATGGAGCACCGTTTGATTCCTCGGTTAGTTTCAATGCTCGGTGACAGAAGTCGTCGAAATCATCTGTTGAAGATTAGGGGAAGTTTAATTAAGTTATAGGATACTATTGATTTTAAACTTTGGGTTTGGAGAATGCGGTGATGATATACCTTTGTCGCGGCAATAGAAACCGAGAGCTAGAGATGGGTCAAGTGATTCCAGAGGAACGTAACGAAGGACACTGATGCAGATTAAAATACAATTAACAAACAAATAAAACTGAACCAGACAAAGATAGATTGATAGATGATTAGATTGAAACTCACTTGCAATGATAGGAGGATGTGTCAACATCTGGAGTTTCCTTGTTCACTGTGACCACCTAAACCAAATCATCAAACGATCAGTCCCAATCAGTGAGCCCAAAATGTGAAATGCTATCACGTGAATGATTAATATCAGATATTCCTAATAGAGACAAGAGATCTTGTGGCAATTGATCCCATCTAGGTACTATTATGGAATGCCATACCAAATCTCTGAGTTATGTCTCGACTCTAAAAACTACAAGGCACGAAATGAAACCTGTTGGACATCATGCGGATCAAGGTAGAAACCTTTGTCTTCTTGAACACCAACTATGTAAGTTGAGGCACCTGGTTTGCCACCCAAAATCCCCAGGCTCTGAGGGAAAGCGAACGTAGCTATGAGAGATGGAATGTATCTGTCAACAAATATTAGCGATGTGTCATAAAGGCCGAATATAATTCCAAGCACGAACCAAAAAGAAAGCATTCACAATTGCAAACCTGGGGTTAACTCTGTCAAGCCCGAGAACCAGTGGGACCAAAAGGAGAATCGGTGTCCACTCAGCCTTTCCTTTTGAGAATTCTAGACAAGATTTGGTGGCATCTTCTATACAGAGAATTGGAGCCCCACCTCTCTCTCCATCTTCGCTGCCAGAAACGATATGAACAGCCATGGGAAGCGTTTGGTGATTAGAATCAGTTTGTTTTCTCTTCTTGCACGCTAATGATTCCCACGATCGACAAATGGCATATGGTCCTACCCATGACCCAGCAGCGAGACCATAGGACTCTCCAGCTAGTATAAGATTGTGGAGGGAGAAAGCTGAAGCCTCGGAATCACCAAAAGGTTGCAAGGTCTCTAAGTACTCCTCTTCAAGCAGCTGCATTTTCAAATCAAACAAGCATGACGTTTTCATTCTCGCTAAGTTTCTGTTCCTAGTGTTGCATATTCAGTAAATATGACATAGACTAGATGCTACATTGAACTAACCTCGGACTTCTTGATCCTCCAAGACCTCCCCAGCCTATGGAAAAGCAATGCCTGAAAATATTTGGCCGGTTAAATGTGTTACAAGCTACAAATCTGATGGCAAAAGAAATATTCTTCCCCATACCTGAGCAAAAAGCATCTGGCTGCTCCGAAGCATGCAACCCCAGTTTACATCGCTAGTATATGATGTGTCTCCAATGGGTTGAAATCCTATAAAATGAAATGGTGACTATTATGCGAAAACTTAATGATGAGCTTGAGTTTGTAGTTGAATATACAAACCTTTACGATATGTTATCAGAATTTTGGATGAAAAATCTTGTTTAAAGGCAGCCAATACACTGCCAGCATCTGTTTCCCCTGAGGCTTCATCCTCAGATATTTTATAACAGACACCCAAGAGCCATACGTCACTTGTAGTGCTCGGAAGACCAGTCCTATTGGGCCCCAGAACACGATCCTGAAATCTCCTGATTGCGCCACTCGCCATTAACGCTTTCTTTACCAGTGCTGTCCAACCATTACGAGTGGCGCAAACTTGCTTATGCCCCGAAGTTGAAGACTCCCTATATGGTTGAGAAACTGAGGAAGAAGGCGCAAACACGTTTGACCATAAGGTAAACTTGGACTTATTATCCCTAGGTTCTGAATCTGAAACTAGAGATGTTGGGGATTTATCATGCGTTTCACTCTTGCTTGATGAAGAACAATGTGGAGGTACAAATCTATCACATAAAGCCTTCATTACCTAGACATGAAGCACCAATTGCAACGTGTCCGTCTCATAGAACCAACCTAATCCTGACAATTAAATCTTCAGCAATCAGAACAAATGACAACCAAATTAAAATCAAACATACCTTAAGTAAGAGCAAGCCAAGATAAACTAAAACTTCCATAATTAACCACAAACACTATTCCAAGGTTCAGAGAAGTTTAATTAAAAAACTCTCAGAGACAAACATCATGAAAAACCAAGCATGAAACAGTACAATCATCATGTATAAGCTTCAATGACCCAAAATTACAAACCAACAAAAACTCAGCAGATTTTGATAAGCATATGAAACTCCATCCCTAG